GGCTGTCCTGGGAAGGCCTGGGAGTGGTTTGTACTCTTTCTGAAAGTCCTCCCTTACCTGCCTCTCCCTTCTCCCAGTGTCCGTGTCTGACCACAGGGGTCATTACAAATGAAGGAAGTGGCTTTCTGAGCACCCCCGTGGGTATGTGTGGTTGGGACACTGAATGAAGGGGTGGGAGTCAAAGGTCTTCATCACCGTGCACGTCACAGGCTTACACACAGACCTTAGTGAGGGGCACATGGCACTCAGAGCTCTCACTGTCCCTGCACTGTCCTGGCGCAACCTGACTCATCCTCGAGTGCTCTGTACTGTCTGTCTAGTGGCCATCTCAGGGGACCCAGCACCTTTGACTCGGTGCAGGAGCCCCGGGAGCACTGGGCATGTCCTGAGTGGCCGTGGCCCTGGGTGACCACATGGACTCTCTCATTGGGTGCAGGGTGGAGGCCACACTGCTAACACAGACTCCCTGCAGCCCGGGCCATGCCGTGGCCTCTCGCCGTGGGATTCTCTGTCCTGAAGGTTGGGGTTTAAGAGTTTTACACAACAGAATTTATGGTCCAGTGTCATCTGAAAGGTGCTCCTTTTCTTGTTTGCTTATTTTATTAGAATTAGTGTAAGTGGCTTTTTGCTGTTATTTCAGAGAAAAATTGAATGTCTGCCTGTGAACCATGAGGCCCACATGATTCTGAGAAGCTCCGACTACCAAAGGAGGCTGTCCAACCTGCCCTGTGCCCGTGTCTCCTCTGTTCCCGCTTGTCCTGCCCCGTCCACGTCTCCTCTGTCCCCACTCTCCTGCCCCGTCCACGTCTCCTCTGTCCCCATTCTCCTGCCCCGTCCACGTCTCCTCTGTGCTCACTCTCCTGCCCCGTCCACGTCTCCTCTGTGCTCACTCTCCTGCCCCGTCCACGTCTCCTCTGTGCTCACCCCTGTTGCACCCACCGAGGTGGTCCAGCTCATTCAGGATCTGCCGCCTCATTTACCCTTTACTTTATGAAATAGTTGCCTTCCTCCAGGAACCGGCCCCTCCTGGTGCCAGGCCCCCCATATCCTGGCTGGCTGCGCCCCTTCCCTAGGACTTCCAGCAGGTAGTTGTTTTTTGGGGTTGCTCCTTGTGAGCGCCGACGGCAGGGAGGAGGAGACATGCAGCCTCAGGCACACAGCCAGCTGCTGGCCAGTGACCTGGAGCCGCTGCTCCTCCCTGGCCACCGCCATGGGAGCGTGTGGCCCACTCCTTTCGTCTCCACATTGTCCCGTGTAACCCATGATGCCAGGGTGAACCCACGTACCAGGACTGCGGGTGTTCCTCCTGCAGTGGGCATCGTGGCAGGTTGTGTGCCAGCCTGCTGACCAAAAAGCTGGCCGTTGAGGTGCACCAGCAGCTTTGGAGCAGAAAGACGGGGTCTCCTGCGCGGATGGACGACCTTGGCTTAGAAAGCACGGTGCGCTTTGGAAGGGACTTGGCGGTCATGGGTTTGGCTTTTTAGTTTGGCTTCTTGGTGCAGCTTTTAGGAACCTTGTGGCACAGTGGTTAAGGTGCTGGCAGCTCGAACCCACCGTGACCCCACAGGGGAGAGAGGCCAGCCACCTCCTTAAAGATCGAAACCAAGCCCAGTGGGGTCCAGCTGGTCCGGCTCACAGCCCTGTTCTGGGTCGGAAGGGTCATCCTGAGGAGGAGACTGTCTGCCCACGGCGTGTCTGGTGGGCCCCAGCCAGTGACATGCTGGGTAACACAGCGTTGCCCCCTCAACCCCTGCAGGGCGCTGTGGGTGGAATGGCCTCACTGGCAGCGGGTTTGGTCGTTGGTCTGACCGGGCAGTGTTTGCACAGCAGCAGTACAGGCGGTAACGGTGTCCCTTGGAATGGGGTGAACACCTTATTGACGTTGTAACAGCTGTCAGATGGTTATGCCTCTGTGTCGACTTTATGGCCAGCCAGGTGACATGATTGTATAGATTTTAGAATAAAACGTAGAAGCCTCATCTGTCGAGGGACCGGGCCTGGGATGTGATTTAAGGGCTGCCGTCTGAGTGGGATTCTCGATGTCCTTGTATGAATTATGGGTAACAGAAGGGGATGTTGCTGGGCTCTGTGCTCGGGTGTGCTGATGGGGGCTTGTCCTGGGCTCAGGGACGGGGCAGGGTGACTGTGGGGCTTGCCCTCCTGTGGCTGGAGGCTTGCTGCTTTTACACCTGCCCTGCCAGGGCCCTGAGCAAATGACCAGACACACTGTGTGGCCCATGCGCGCGTGGAGCCCGGGAATCAGAATCCACTTGACTTCAGCCGACAGCAGACGTATCAGCGTGTCCTCCGCGCCTGGTTGTGCAGCCCTCTGTGGCCGAGGGTGTCAGGGCAGGACAGCCAGAGTGTCCCGGCTGATGGAGAGTCACGGGGCCCAGAGTGCAGGCCATGCTCCCACCTGTGTCTGAGCTGAAGACGCGTGGAGGGGTCCGCCCCAGCGCCCCCTCCTCCGTGGTGTGGCTGCAGGGACCACCGCGCAGGGGACAGCTGTGACCCCGTTTGCTCTCGGACCCTGCCCGTGACCTCATTCCCCATCACATCCTTTTGTTAATGGCAGATAGTGGCAGCGGGGGCTCATTGGCCTGTGCTGCACCTGACTTCTGTCACTGGTGATCCTCACCTGTGGTCACTCATGATCAGTTACGGATTGAACACACATGTCCAGCCTGTCAGCAACTCGACACAGGCTGGTCATTGCCACCAGGCCTGGAGTTGCTATGTGATGACACAGTGTACAGACAGGTGACCTTCTCTACCTGACACCCCACCACGCTGTCGCCGTAGGGCCCCTCGGTGTGCCAGCCCGCCAGGCCGACCTCGAGTGCTCCGAGTGTGGGAAGAGCTTCGCCCAGCCCGCCCACCTCAGGGCCCACACACGGGCGCACACAGGTACGCACCCACAGGTGACCCCACCCTTGTCCTGCTCTGTTAGCCCTGTCCCCACCCTGCCCCTGCCCCGCCCGTCCTGCCCCTGCCCTGCTAGCCCTGTCCCCAGTGGACTCTGGTCCCTGCCCAGCGTGCTGCACAGGACAGGCCTTGGATCTGCCATGAGAACATAGGAAAACTGGCCTGGCGCCTGGACACGTGTGCTCTTGTGGGTGGGGTCCGACCAGACCACCAGCTTCTCATGTTGGAGACTGCAAGTCTCACCTCAGCACTGGAGTTGAAAGTCTCTTGTACGCAGCTGCATATACTGCATATACTGAGATAAGCATGTTATCAGGGGCCCTCAGATAGGAAGGTGCTGCTCTGTCATCTTGTAAACTAGGCTGCCTCGCCCCAGGGCACACTGCTCCCCGCCACCCCTGCCCCGTGTCAGGTAGGAAGTGCCTGGGCAGAGCCTCAGGCAGGTTCCAGGGACCCTTGACATAGTTCCCAGCAGCCATGCTGGGCAGGGGCCTGGTGTCGCCTGTTCCGGGAGCATCCCAAGCTGGGACCCAGCCTCAGAGGTGAGTGAGTGTCCGTAATACCTTTCCACTCACAAAGGCCAGGGCCAAGCAGTTATCCTGCAGCAGAGGCCATCACCCCGTGATAATGACCACTGTCAGCACTGCCTCTCCACCTGGGGAATGGAATGGAAGAGGTCGTGGTCCCGACAGCCCCTGCACTCGCTCTGCTCGCTCCACTAGGAAGTGACCTCGGGATGCCCCATGACTGACAGGCCACATGCCAGCCATCTCCCCGTCTGTTAACTGTCCCCTTGTTCCCACAGTGCTGTTTGAGTCAAATGGACTCCGAGTGGCTGATGTCCATGGTGCCTCCGCCTCCTCCCCCAAACAAGTAGGTGTCCTGGGATGTCTGAGCTGGAACATGGCGTAAGTGGGTGCAGATGGTTTGACATTGGCTTGGTTGAGGGACCCTGTATCAGGAGCATCTGTGGGTGATGGGTCTGTGCGGGTCACCTTGGTCACCACTGATGTTGATGCTAGGGTGCTGCTGCCCATGCCAGGTGGACCAGGCCATAAGTGGACACTGTAGGGCATTGAGAATTGCTGTGTGTAATGCTTCTGAGGCCTGGTGCTGAGGAGCTTGTGGCCAACCCAAAGGCGGATGGTTTGAATCCACCAGCGGCTCCACAGGAGAAGGGTGGGAGATAGTCTGTGTGAGTTACAGCTTCTGGTAACGTACAGGAGGGTCGACTAGGAGTCGGTTCTGCCTCAGTGGCAGTGAGTGTAGAAACTCCCTTGTCAGAGCACTATTTCTTTGGAGCAGATTTCAGATGGGAAGCAGCTCCTCCAGCTGCTGACTGCGAGGGCTTGGTAACTAGATACACCAGCTGACTGGGTCTGAGAGAGCTTGTCAGGGCTTGTCTGAGGACTCTGGGACTGGGTGAAACGCCCCATGAGGTGTGGTGGTGCCATCGCCTCCTCCTGGCTTCTCTGGTGAAAATGCTCAGAGAGACAACTCCAGTGGGGGTGACAGGCCGGCTGGGGGAGGTCGTGCTGTCCTGGGAGACTCACACCTTGAGATCATAACCAGTCCCGACGATGTCCCCTTCACCAGCAGGTCCCAGGTTTGACTCATACATGAGGGGGATTGGGTGAGAAGCCCAGGTCCGTTTAGTGTAATGCTGTGAGTTCCCACAGAATTCACAGGCAGCTGTTTGCTGTGTGTCCATCAGACGTGCTGCTGCCCTGCCCTTGGGCCAGGTGAACTGGGGTGTGCACAGTGGAGACGCTTCCTCGGTTTGAGAGAGACAGGATTGCACTTCAGTCTGTTTCTGCAAACTGCAGTTTCTCAGTGCAGTGAGAGTGGTGTGACTTTGTCTCACGTGGTTCAGATGTGTCATCAGGAGCCACTCCTCTGGGGGATTTGGAGAAAGCCCTCATGCTTGGCAAACCAGAGGGTCACAGAACCAGAGAGAGACCCCCATGGGTGGACTGAGACCCCCACGGGCGGAGTGAGACCCCCAAGGGGGACTGAAACCCGCGGGCAGAGTGAGATCCTTGTGGGAGGACTGAGGTCCTTGTGGGAGGACTGAGATCCTTGCAGGCGGATGGAGACCCCCCATGGGGACTGAGACACCCCCCGCCCCCCAGCGGTGGATTGATGTGGTGGTTTCAGCCATGGCCTTGAGCCTGGTGAAGCTGTGGGGAAGGCACAGGACTGAGCGCATACATCGCGTCGAACATGGATGGGGTCTCTAAGTTGGAGCCAACTAGATACCTTCTCACAACAAAGGCACACCTGAAGAGCGGGAATCCAAGAACCCTTAATTGTGCTCACGCAGAACCTGGACATAGACCAGGAAGCAGTTACTGGAACAGAGCAGGGAACACGGCAGGGTTTAAAATCAGGGCCAGTGTGAATCAGGATTGTATCTGTTCAGTCTGTGTGCTGAGCACATCGTTCAAGCAGCTGGACCCCATGAAGAAGAGTGTGGCGTCAGGACCACAGGAAGACTCATCAACTACCTGTTATGCAGAGAACACAACCTTGCTCATTGAAGGTGAAGAGGACTTGATCAGAGACTACAGCCTTCAATGTGGATTCCATCTCTACACCAAGAACCAGGAAACTCACCGCTGGACCAGTTCGCACCATCAAGGCAGATGGAGAGAAGCTAGAAAGTGTCAGGGGTTTTGTTTTACTCAGATCTGTGGTCAGCACCCCTGGCCAGAGCAGTCAGGAAACAGAAGGACAGGCTGCATTGGGCGAGTCCCTCAGGCCCCTTCCCAGTGCTGATGGACAGGCCACAGTCTAAAGGCTGAGTATGGATGAGGCGACAGTCTAAACGCTGAGTATGAACAAGGTGACAGTCTAAACTCAGTATGGACGAGGTGACAGTCAACACTGGGTGAGCCGCCGCGTGCTCATTTCTTTGGGGTCCTGGCCACAGGTCGGTCATTCTCACAGCCCCTCCTGTTTCCCATTTCGTTCTTCCACACGTCTTAGATGACAGCAGACCAGCCCCGCCCATGCTACTGGTGAATTACAGCTCCTGGCAGCCCCCATTGTGTGCCAGCAACTGACTTATCAGGGGAGACGGCCTGTTTCTCCCCCATGGAGCCGCTGATGTATTCAGATGCTGCTCTTTGGGTTAGGGCAGTGCGCAGCCCCCCACCCCTCTTTGTAGACTACAGGATGGGGCTGGTACCCTGTGTTCTGTGCAAAGGGAAACTGGACAGAGGGTGACTTCCTGCCTTACTGGCTTTGCTGCTTGTGGTCCTGGGACCAAGGCTTTCCATCTCTGGGGTCTCCCCTAACATCCATGCTTATGCCCCGTCTTCACGGGAGGCTGAGTGTCTCCTGCCCTGTGACCTGGTAACGCACAAGATCTGAGTGTTTGGCAGCTCAGTCAGTGAATTCAGTCTCACCTCTGACTCCTTAGCAGAAAGGTGAGGGAGTCCCCTCCCGTGAAGTCACCCCTCTGCTCACTCCTGCAGGCTCCCCTCCCGTGAAGTCACCCCTCTGCTCACTCCTGCAGGCTCACAGGGAGCTGGAATCCACTTGACACCAGTAGGTTTGGGTCTTGGTTCTCATCGTAGCCTGGAGCCCTGGTGATCAGTGTATAAGCATTTGGATGCTAAGGGGAAGGTCAACAGTTCAAACCCACCCAGCAGCTCCGTGGGAGAAAGATGTGGGAAAGATCCCAACTGGGGAGACTCACAGGCAGTTCTGCTCTTTCCCCAAGGGTCACTGAGAGCACAGTCCATGGCACCAGCTGCCCTGTGTCCACTAGTGTGTCATTTCTCCCAGACACAGTTCTCTAGAGGAGATGGGGAGAACTAGACCGGATGTGATTTCCTGAATCTCGCCTGTCAGTTGCTGACCCTGCGTGGTGGCTGCTGTGTGTGGTATTATGTGCCCTCATGTTGGTGCCAGCCTTGGTGACACTGCGTAATCAGACACTGCTGGTTCTGTCTGCCTCCTGTCTGGTGCTGTGTTTGACCAACTGTCAGCAGCTTCTGTATCCACCCATCCATCCATCCACCCACCCATCCATCCATCCATCCATCCATCCATCCATCCATCATCCATCCATCCATCCATCATCCATCCATCCATCCATCCATCCATCCATCCATCCATCCATCCATCCATCCATCCATCCATCATCCATCCATCCATCATCCATCCATCCATTCATCCATCCATCCATCCATCCATCCATCATCCATCCATCCATCCAGTTGAAGGCCTTCCTCTGCTGCAGGCCTGGGAGGGATTTGCTCTGTTGGACATAGGGTTGCTGACGTGGAACCAGCTTGGCGGTATCTAACGACAACTACCACTTTCCCAAGCATGATGTCCTTCTTCAGGGATCGACCGTCCTCACAACATGTCAAAGGACGTGAGGCCAGGTCGCACCATCTGGCCTCAGAGGAGCATTATGGCTGCACTTCCTCCCAAATGGATTTGTTCTCTGTAGTCTGTGCTGACGTACCCTGTGTTACCAACACCGCAGTCCGAAGGTATTGGCTTTTCTTCAGCCTTTCCAAGGTGATGAAAAATACTGTGGCTGGAGCCAGAGGCGTCTTGGTCCTCATAGGGCTCCGGGACTGCTGTAGGATCATTGTCTGGACTTGGCCATAATCTTACTTGAAATTTCTGTATTGGAATGTTATTCAAATCATGAACACTGAAGTGCCAGAAAGATGGACAGTATTCCCCCCATTCTGTCGAAGAGCTTCCATTCTCACATCTGTACGTTTTCCAGGGCCGATCTGTCTCCAGCTGTGGCTTCTCTCCCGTTCTCACCACACGTGCTCATTTTTCAGAAAACAGCAGCCAACATCAGCCTCTTTGTGTGTGAAAACACCATGCTACATTTACTCAGGAATTGTTTAGAGTGTGGGCAGTGTTTCATGGAAAGTATTTTTTAAATTTTTTATCAGTATTATTGATTTTAATGAAAATTTACAGAGATTTTGGATTTCTATTTTTTCATTCTTGCACTTTTATCTCTGCCCACCCCTCCCCGCCAGTTCGTTCTTTTCTTTGAAAAGTAAAAGAAAAATTCTTTCATTGTTTTACAGTCCCTCCCCCTGGGTTCACTGCACTGTGCAGCCTTCATTTTGGACTCCTGTCATGACAATAATACGTAATCATATATACCTTTTAAACAGTTTTCTCTCTCATCTGTTTCAATGCAGTATACATAATTTATCCCATCTTCCTCAGTCTCTCACAACCCCCGATGTCAGTCCAGTTTTACAACAGTGGCACTATGCAGTATTTGTCCTTTTGTGACTGAGATATTTTACTCAGCATAATGTCCTCCAGGGTCACCCATTTTGAGTAATATTTCATGAGTTCCTTGTTTTTCAATGCAGCATAGTATACCATTGTGTGACTATACCAGAGCTTCTCTATCCATTTGTTTGTTGATGGTCACTTGGGTTGTTTACAACTCTTTGCTATTGTGAACAAAGCCACGATAAACGGGTGTGCATATATCTGCTGGGTGGTGGCTTTGGTTTCTTTGGGGTATATTCCCAGTAGTGGAATTGCTGGGTCAAATGGTATTTCTTTTTGTAACTTTTTGAGAAAGTGCCATACCACCTTCCAAAGTGGTTGCACCATTTTACACTCCCACCAACAGTGAGTAAGGGTTCCAGTTTCTCCACAACCTCGCCAGCATTTGTTGTTTGCTGTTGTGTTAAATTTTGCTTTTCTACTGGAGTGAGATGATATCTCATATTTGTTTTGATTTGCATCTCTCTTAGAGCTAGGGATTTTGAACATTTCTTCATGTGTGTGTTTGCCATCTGAATGTCTTCTTTGGGGAAGTGTCTGTTCATATCCTGTGTCGATTTTTCACTTACGTTGTTTACCTTTTATAAGTCCCTTATCTGATATGTCATCATCAAATACTTTTTCCCAGTCGGTGGCTTCCCTTTTTGCCCTGTTGGAGAAGATTTTGGGTGTGCATAGGGATTTGCTTCTTAGAAGATCCCATTCATCTATTTTATCCTCGCCTCCTTATAGGTTTTTCAGGATGCTTGGAAGACTGTTTATGTTGTGGATTAGGACTTCTAGAGTTCTTCCAAGCTTTTCTTTAATGAACTTTATAGTCCTTGGTTTTAGTCCTAGGTCCATGATCCACCTTGAGTTGGTCTTTGTGTATGGAATGAAATGTGGATCTTTCTTGAGTTTTCTGCAGATAGTTTTTCCAATTTTGCCAACACCATTTGTTAAAAAGACTGTCGTTTCCCCACTTAACTGATTTCATCTCCTTGTCAAAAATCAGTTGACCATAGGTAGAGGGGCTGATTTCTGGGTTCTCAGTTTTACTCCATTGATCTGTGTGTCTGTCATTGTACCAGTACCACACTATCTTGACCACCACGATTTTAAATAAGGGAGTGAGATGCCTGCTACCTTGTTTCTCTTTTTAAGGAATGCTTTGCTTATTGGGGGCTTCTTTCCATTCCAAATGAAACTGCAGATTGCCTTTTCCATCTAGTTGAAGAATGGAATTGGTATTTATACGGAGATTGCATTGAAAGTGTAAATTGCCTTTGGTAGTATTGCCATTTTCACAATATTGAGTCTTCCTATCCATGAGCAAGGGATATTCTTCCACTTCTCAAGATCTCTTTTTGTTTCTTGTAATGTTTTGTAATTTTCTTTGAATAGATCCTTTGTGCTTCTGGTTAGATTTACTCCCAAGTATTTAATCTTGTTATTAGCTATTTTGAAGGGTATTGTTTTTCATAGCTTCAGTTCTGTATTCTCTTTGTCACTGTAGAGAAATCCAACTGATTTTTGTATGTTGATCTTGTATCCTGCCACTTTGCTGAATTGGTCAACTATGTCCAGTAGTTTTCTTGCTGAATCTTTAGGGTTTTCTAAGTATACTATCATATCATTTGCATAGAGAGATAATTTTACCTCCTCTTTGCCAATTTGGATACCTCTTATTTCCTTCTCTTGTCTTATTGCTATTGCTAAGACTTCCAATACAATATTGAATAAGAGAGGTGATAGTGGGCATCCTTGCATAGTTCCTGTTCTTAAAGGGAATGCCTTTAACCTCTTTCCATTGAGAACAAGATTGGCTCTCGGATTTGTGTATATACTTTTTACTATGTTGGAGGAATTCCCCTCTAATTCCATTTTGTTGAGTGTTTTAATCAGGAAAGGGTGTTGGATTTTGTCAAAGGCCTTTTCTGCATCAATTGATAAGATAAAATGGTTCTTGTTCTTTGCTTTGTTAATGTGATGAATGACATTGATTGTTTTTCTTATGTTAAACCATCCTTGCATACCTGTTATGAATCCCACTTGGTCATGGTGAATTACTTCTTTGATGTATCATTGGATTCTGATGGCCAGTATTTTTATTCAGGATTTTTGCATCTATGTTCATAAGAGATACAGGCCAATAGTTTTCTATTTTGGTGGTGTCCTTTCCTGGGTTTGGTATCAAAGATATGTTTACTTCATAAAATGAGTCTGGGTGGGAGAATTCCATCCTTTTCTATTTCCTGAAATCGTTTATTTAGAATTGGTGACAGTTCTGAGTATTTGATAAAATTCACTTGTAAAACCTTCTGGTCCAGGGCTTTCTTTGGCTGGAAGTTGTTTTGGAAGTATGTTCTTTTTTATAAAGCAGTTCTTATATGCCCAGCTGCAGCTTACCAGTCTATGTCCAAAGCTAAAACCTGGTGCTGACTTACTCTGGAACCTTCTGATGTGCTCAGTGTGGATTCTACCCTGACCCAGTGACTTTCACTACATGGTTTTGTCTACACTGCAAGTGTGGTGCTGGTTTACTTTAGATCTCTCTAGCGTGCTTGGGTCAGAGTTGTCGCAGTGACGCTCTAACCACGTGGATTTTGTCTGCATGTACCACCACTATGCTGATGTTTTTATAGCCATTCACTTGTCAGATTATCTGGTGTTTTCCTACAGTATTATTTACGGACCTGTAGCTTTTTATACTTTTAATTCAGATTTAATTTGAAGTCTACAGAGCACAGTGGTTCTTCATTTAGTCGTATGTGTTTTGTTTTGTGACATTGATTGTAACACCCCTGCCCGCCACCTCCCTGTGTCTCTCATTTCTCACTTAGTTCCTTGTGTAAGGAGTTTTGTGTCCCATTTGCTGTAGCCACATTTAAGACTGTCTGACTGAGGGGTTGACTTTGTTACAAATCTTGTAGGACTGCTGTGTTAAACAATGGTGATTTCTAATTATTGATCATTTAAAATGATGTAAAAAATAAGGGTACTACTTGACTTTTTCCAATTATGAGTCCAGAACTGATTTGGACACCATTGTTCACTGTTCTTCATGTGAAACCTGTCCTTTCCTACATCACCGATTGGTTTTGCGGTGATTCCAATTACGGCTTCCCCATGTGAGCAGAGGAAACTGACCTTTTAATCGGAGCACTGGCTCTTTCTCCTCTGAGTAGCTTCACACTACTGGTCTTTTGGTCACTGTGCTACCCCGGGACTCCTTGAAATTGTCAGGAATGGTTTTTCAGGTGTCCTCTGTAAGAAAGGGAGACAAATTTTAGAGGTGTCTGTATTATAGTCTGAAAGAGAATTAGTTACACCTGAACTCAAGTCTTTGCTTGCTTGATTTTTTGTTCTATGAGACCATGGTTTGTGTTTCAGGGGTGGTTCTGTGAGATAGTTGTGTTCTTGGAGTGGTTCTCTGCGGTGACTTGTGGTGTGGGGTGCTTCTCTGAACTGGTGTGCAGTTTGGGGGTGGTTCTGTGAGGTGATTTTTTTTGTGTGGTTGGAATTTGTTCAAGCACTTGAGTCAAGAAAGTATCTGGGAACCAGTAGGAACCATTGATCTCTCTTGTCTTCCTTCTGTCCAGGGGAGAGTCCATCCGAATGCAGATCCTGTCCCTCCAGTGCCTCTCAGAAAGGGGACCTAGAGTCACATGTCCAGCACCCACTGGCCCCTCCGACAGCTGCTGGCAGGACCCGAGGCTGGTTCCGACAGCCCCTCGCCTGTGACCCTGATGGCCTGTGGAGGACCAGCCGGAAGACTCCAAGGGGACAGACACCTCAAGTCCCGGAGCCCGTGTGTGGCGTGGAAGGGGTGGGACCCTGTGCACCCTGATTTTGTGGACTTGCCCCTCTAGTTTTCCACGTACACGCTGTGCCCGTAGATAGGTGGGGCGACCATAGCCCACTCTCAGCCGCGCTGTGCTGTGTGGAGGGCCGTGCGGGCGCCCAAGGCCAAGGTCCGCGGCGTGCAGACACTGGACGAGCGAGACGTGTGTGTGGACAAGAGGAGGCGTGAGGGGCCCCACGCTCAGGACTGAGAGCTGGGGGGGTTGGGCAGGGATAACTACTGCCACCTCCAGCCAGGGCTGTGACGGTCGGGGAGGGAAGGGAGGGCTGTGCACTGCTGGCCGGAGGCCAGGCCGCCCCGTTGGCCACTTGTCCATGTCCTGCCAGGGGCAGGACGCGCGGGCCCCTCTGCTTGGGGCAGAGATGGCGGCTGAGAAACGCAGGCTTCCTGTTTATCTCAGGGCTAGTTCCGCTCACAGGGAAGACTGCACGTCTGCGCCCTCGGCCGCTGGGAGCCACACGGGGCCCCGAACGGGAGGGGCCCGGGCGCCAGGTGCTGATAATAAATACTCCAGAACCGTGGTCCCGGCCCCCGCCGCCTCCCGCCACCCCGGCCCTTCGGGGGCGCTTTATATACCTCTTCCTCATAACTCTTTCACGTGTAAGTCTGGTGGGACGAGGCTGTGAGCGGGGGCGCCGTGACCTTGGCCGTGTCCCAGGCCCCTTCGTCCCTGTTGCCGGGACACTGTGTGTGATGGTGGTACTTCAAGGGTTTCCAAGCTTTGCACATAGGGTTTTATGCATTATCAAAAAAGTTACTGCTGCCTTGAATGAAGATGTTCTGTGAAACTTTTTGCAAAAGCTTTACTAGGTTTTTTTTTTAATAGTGAGATTTTTGTAAAGGCAGGAAATGGAGCATGCTGAATATATTTTTCAAAAGAAGAAAAAAGCAATAATTTTACATGTACAGAAATTATCCTAATCTTTATTACTGGGAGAGCACCAATTCTCGTAATACAGTAACGGGTTAATGCAGATTTTATAGGAAATGGGCTTCAGATTAGAGACTTTGTTCACGCACACACACAGATCCACACACACACCCCCACCTAAAGTGTGGTTTTCTTGTTCTAATGATTTGTTGAATTATTATTGTTATTAGTTACTGTGTGGTTCTAGACGCTCCTTGTTACTGAATTTAAATTACTTGACGATTCAGGTTACTTTGCAGCACTTGCAAGCAATGCAATGTAACTGGCTAGTTTATATCTATAAATATACATTATATATTATTTTTTTTACACTTACTTTTCCCTGATGCTCTTAGCACTGTGTCCAGCACGTTCTGCAGCGTTGGCTGCTCGGACATCCGTGCAGATGGACGAGGTCACGGTCACGGGCTGTCCTCTCGCGTTTCCGGGCACGGCCTTGCAGACCCCACATTCCTCGCTCGCCTGTGGCACCAGAGCCTCTTTCTGTCCACCTCTCTGTGCTCTGTCCACCTCTGTGTGCTCTGTCCACCTCTCTGTGCTCAGCTTCAGTAGCCTCCCCCCGCGTGGTCCTTGCTGGCTCCTTCTGGCTTTTGTTCGTTGACTGAACGTAAGCAGTTACGGTCCCAGGAGACGAGGAGCTCGTGACATGGTCCTGGCTGCTTCTTGTAGTTGTTGCCTGAGTGACACCAGTGTCGAGGACGCCCTGTCACGGAGTCGGGATTGGCTGGAGACGCCTGCTGGGTCCTGCGAGCTGGCTGCGTCCTGGGGCCCTTGTCCAGGGGTGGCGGGCGATGGTGCTGTCTGGGGTCCCTCTGAGGGGCCAGCATAAATGGCCGTGCACTGTGCAGAAGCGAGGTTCTCGCTCAAACCCATGCCAGGGACCCCCAAATGCGCCTGCCGCTCGAGTCTGCGGCTTTCTCTCCCACATCTTCAGTATTGTATTGGTTTATTCATTTGCTGATGTCAGTTTGGCCACTGTATTTAATATGCTCTGTGTTTTTCTTATTTATTTAGTCAGTATGTTTCAGTGACATTTCTTTTGGAATGGTCATTTCCGTGCGATGCACTCCTCCGACCCCCTCTGACTGTTACGGTCTCTGCTACCTCTGCCAGCCTCTGTCTCCTGTTTCAGAACCTGTTCTTACAGTCTTGCTGTCCCGTGGAACTTATACAATAAAGGGTTTGGCCGTCTACACTGCAGCATCTCTGTGTCTGTCCGGCCTCCTGCCCTCGTTCCTCTCACTCCCCTCACTCCTCCTCTTTCTGCCTCACTCTTAAACCCCCACCAGTCACACCTCTCCCCATCTTGAACTTAACGCAAAAACAAGCTTCTAAAACTATTCAGGGGACTCACTCAAGCTCCTTAACCTGAAGAATGAACATTTCCGTTCTTTGCAAAAATCCAGAGTTGTTAGCTTCGCTGGGAAGTGGTGGTATCCCTTCCCATCCAGTTCTGGAAGGCTTCCGTCTTAGGCCGCTGCCTTCCACTCTGGCTAACCCCGTGCAGACTCTCCAGTGATGTGGAGTTTATTTGATTTGATTTTTTTTTATTCTATTTTTTATTTAGAGTCTGTTTAGAGCAGTCCTCCCAGGATTTAGTCTCATTTAACCTAGGCAGATATCAGGAATTGCCCAGGGAAGTTAGTTCTTGGCATGAAGAAGGGCCATGGGCTTTGTGACACTGTCCAGGGTGTCAGGTGACAGCACAGCCAGGGTGCCCAGGATTGCAGGTCGCCTGGTGTGAAGGTGGGCGTGAAGGCACACAGACACAAATGCAGTTACCCCTTCTGAGGCATTGTGAACTTTCTAGTTGCTCCATTGGCTTTTCTGAGAGGGACTCAGGTCAGGTGCTCCTGGGTGAGGAGTGTGACCCCAGCTTTCTGAGTGTGTTTGGGGTTGGTGTCTCCCCCTGCCCTCCGGGCTGGTCAGCCTTCATCTACCTTCTGTAAAACAATGAAACACGTAATAAACCCACATCGGTTGGAGGGTGCTTTACCTCCCTCTTCTGACTGGGAATGATAATGGTAATTAATACACATGGTGTTTTCCTGTTTCCGCCCCTACTGCTTTTGACTTCGGTAGGTTCCAGTTGCAGAACATTTTATTCATTGCAAAGAAAAAGAAAGAATAAAGGGGGGAAAAGTCAGTTGTCCTGAACTTTAGGCAAAAAGTCCCTGTGCAGATCCGTAAGGTCCTGCTGGCTTGAGGTCCTTCACCTGTGAGTGCCCACTCAACCTGTAGGGGCAGATGAGTGACACCCCCACCCCAGCGTCAAATGTTCATTCTTCATCCATCTTGCTAATTCTGCTTTGAGGCAGCAAAGTACAAAAGACCATAGAATTTGTATCCTTTTTTTTTTTTTAAAAAATAAAACACAGTTTATAACATTATATTTTGTACTCTTTATATTAGAATTTGTAACTAGATTGATGTATTTAACTTTCTGGAAACGTCAGTGTTTCAGTTGTGTGATAAAAATATTTAGATAAAACATATTCTATTGGAATTTGAAATAAATAAAAACCTCTTGGAGTTCTTGACATCTGTGAGGCATTTCCCTCCTTTTCAGAAGGTGGCGTAAATCCAAGCAAGCTTTTCTGTCTTGCTCTGCTTCTCTCTCCTCCCAGCACACCCCTGGGTTATTTGAGTTTGGTTTCGTAAACACAAAACAGTTCTCAAGCTCAGTGTTTCTAAAAGTGTAAGGATTTTAGAATGGCTCACCTAAAGGAACGTTTACCCAGAAGGATACCCAGGGGGCAGGATGGCGCCGAGACGGATGGGCAATCTCCCATGCGATGAACTGCCTTAGAAAACCCGCCAGAGGATCCGCTAGGGTTTGGTTCCGACTCGACGGTACACAGCAACAAATGTGTATGTGTAAATAATAGACAAAGACCTTGAAGCTCTTGTGCAGATCCAGGATACGCACGTTTGTCCTTGGAAGGTGGTGTGTTTTCTCCTTTGATTCTCATATCACACCCCAGTTATCACACCGTGAGTGCAGATACCAGTGGTTGACTCAGTTGTGTGAGTCATGGATGGGAATGGACAGAGAAGTCCCTGGATCAGCCACACGGGGGTGTGATGATTATCTCCTCAAGTCCAGGATGCTTCAGCAGCTCCGTGATTGCCGAGTGATTGGGGCTGTCAGAGACAATTTTTGATTACAGCACAGAATGCATTTAAGAGTTAAGAGATGGAACTCATTCAGTCTTGGTAGGAAGGAAGGAGGTAAGTACGTGAGTCTGGCTTTCTGAAGGTGCAGGGTGGGAATGCTGGAGGTTTCAGAGCTGTGTCCATCCACTCCCACTGTGATGGCCCCAGTGGTGGTTGTGATGAGCTGTGGACCGTCAGCTCCACTCTTGCAGAACGGAAACACAGCCCAGTCCAAGTGCTGGCCTTGAACTCGTTGTTGAAGGCGCTGTGCTGAGCCAGCCTGTTTTCACTGATCTTGTACCAATAGGGTGTTCTTCTGGGGACTGGTGAAAATGCTGTTCAGAGGAAATTCCAAAAGGTTTTGGGTTGAGCAGGTGGCAGGATGAAGCCAGGTCTTTTAACTCCTCAACTGTGACTTGGTTTGTCTGCTCTGGTGGTTGGTGTGATAAAAATGCACATATTTAGTGAGCCACAGCCCCTTCCCCACAGTGGGGAGCTGTCATTTACCTGCAGTCACACTGCACAGGAAGTGTGGGCGTTCCCACGAACTGCCAGGTGACACACATGGGGAGCATGTCCGGGTAACAGTCCTGGTGTCACCCTCATTGGTGGTGTGTGGATGCTTGAGCCAGATGGGCTCTGTCCTGGGAGGGTGACAGGAATGCTGGCTCCACCAACTGCCGCCACCATCCTCTGATTCCTTAAAGTGGAGGCCACAGTGTGTGTCCTGTCCTTGTCCTCCTCGACGGCGGGCATCAGGTGTGTGGAGGCCACGGTGTGTGCCCTGTCCTTGTCCTCCTCGACGGCGGGCGTCAGGTGTGTGGAGGCCACGGTGTGTGCCCTGGGTGGTGCCCCACGTCATGCTGGGTGAGGAACTACAAGAGTCTCAGCTGTGTGATTCTGTGGGACATAATGTGAGATATACTCTTCTAGATAGATCACTGTTGTCAGATTGGCTCCTGGTGACCTCCAGTGCTACAAAACAGTGCTCTGGGCTGGGTCAGCCTCACAGGCCTCGAGTCCAGCTACAGTGCCCTCTCATTGTGGACACCCTCATCAAACACAGTTGTTGTTGTTGTTGTTATGTGCCGAGTTGCTTGTGA